AAAACGATACAAACCCACATCAATACACTCAATCCTAACACTGTAATCCATGGCATATCTCCCCTCTCTCGTCGCTCTCTACACACACGCACACACAGCGGTCGGCCACATCAAACAAACATCGCCGCCAAATGGCGGGTAAAACATCTACATGAACACTAGCATGGCATGCACCCCAAACCTGAAACTGACTCCCTACATTAACTTAAGACAACTTGAATATTCGTACATGTCACAAAGCACTTTAGACCATTACAATGCCCGACAAATGCTTCAATACACACTTACATACTGAACCATCCACTACTGAACAACGGTGAATTCGCGGTAAAAACAGCACTAATTCAGTAGCACCAAAACACTCTTTAACTAACAACAAGTACTTAAAATAAGCACACCATGTTCACAATACCTTCGCTTCACTCTAGAGTGAGTTAGAATCGCGTTTGAGTTTTAAAAAAGTCACTTTTATTGACATACCTGTAGATAACGTGAGAGGACATGTTAACTAGGCCATAGCTTGTTTAATTCTGAGGCTGTGCCTGCACTTAATCTTTCCCGTCCCCACAGTCGCGCCACAGCACCATCTATCGGTCCGGAGGCGTATAGTGTACACAAACTTCATGAAAGACAGCGATAAAACAAAAAAATATATAGGGGGTGTCTGTTTAAATGTAAAACTTAAAAAGTAGCGTTTTCCAACCTACTACACATGACTTTCTCTGTACTCATTATTTCATTCATGGATGAAGTTCATGTCAATGTCTTCTTCCAGGCAGATGGAGACAGAGTTAAAGGGAAAGCCGGGGGTGGGGCTGACATGTAAAAGACTGTAAAAAAGAGAAAATAGGAAGTAAGAACAAGGTGAATGATGGCAAGATGATCATGGGGAACAAGCTGAAGACAGCAGCAAGAGATGGGGGAGCACAAGGGAAGGAGAGAGAAGGCTGATTGACAATTTGCATCCTCTTCAGAGGGTATCAGTGGACATGATTGAATTCAGTCAGGCTGAACCCATTAGGGGTGCGCTGCTGTTGGAGGCCAAAAGCAGAAAGCCATTCACGGGCCCCGGGTCCTTGCTCTTCACCAGTCTCCATTTATATTCATGCCAGTGCTGAGTTATTGAGGAAGAAGAGAGAGAGAGAGAGAGTAAGAAGAACTGAAGCGGGCCTCGCTCATCCATCCATTTGCTGTTTGTGAGCCGTAAGGTTCTTACCCACTGCCAGGATCGCTCACTTAACCTGGACACAAGTGCTCCCATTTGCATGTGATTTTCATGGGTCAATATGTCTATAAATTGGATTTAAATTGTAGACATGTAATGTCTCAAACCACTTAAATGCACTGGGAAAAACCATTTAAAAGCTCTAGTGAAATTGCAAAGGACATTTGCATTTTAGTTTAATGTGTCTCTTCTCATTAGCCTGCCTTGAAAATGGTGCCATAACTGAAACTTATCCAGTGCATTTTCTTGGGAGACAGCCACATTTCACATCTTGGTAGAACTGAGGCAATCGTTTTACGGAAGGTTTTTCTTTGTACTCTTTAGTAGATCCCTGGGCGTGATGAGAGCAGTGGAGATATAACACACTGGAAGGTGTGACAAGCCGCAGTGGCCAAGGGCTGGGAACATTTCCTGACAGCCGTCCCACCCCACATGTTCCCATTTGCCTCAGTTAGACAGCTGATCCAGAGCAGCCTGAGAATTTGACTAGGTGACAAAGAAGGTGGAGTGTTGTGGAGAGTCTTCCATGTGTTGCCATTTATCTCACAAACACAGAACATGCGCCCAAAGCTACAATACTGCAGCATCCTTGGTTTGTACCACAGCTGTCAAGGCGGAGATGATGGAACCCTGCCGTCAGACTTCTCTTTCTTTTCAAGAGTGAAAATCAGGATTTAGTATAAAAGATTTCATCCTTTTTTTGTGAGCGCTTGGATTGGAGCTTTGTTTTGTTCAGCGACTGTGTGTGACTCAGAAGTAAGAGACAAATAAGGGACACTGGAAAATTCACATTTTAGTTTGTACCTTCCGAGTGCACTCAGCGGGATGCCAAACTGCCAATTAGACTGTTTTCATACAAGCTGCCATGGCGCCACTAATCCAGTTTTTATACATTTGCTCCTTGCTTTGATGTAATTA